CACCAATGAAAAGAAATCATAAAGAAACGAGTTATGATTATGCAGTATGTAGATCAATATATTAAACGCACACATATTTGAAACGCTCTTTTTATGGAAATAATATAATGAGCAAAATATTGAACATCCAAACATCAAAAACACTAATAACTATGCAACAATGATTAAATGTGCCGGTTCGTGTACCTAAGGTACACCTATAAAGCTAGGTTGAAAGTATTATAAATTTTAAACTTTTTTTTTCATAATTTAAAAATCATGTCATCAAATCCATTTTCTGAAATTATTCCATGTCGTCCAGGAAATCCCACACATCTTTTGAATTACATGTGTTTAGATGATGATTATGATGAAGGATTAATTTTGTTAGATGAACAAGCACTGAGAATTTTAAGAAAAGTTGAAGAACCTATCGCCGTTATAACTGTTGGTAGGTTATAAAAGGTTATAGAATTATAGGTAATTTTATTATAACATAATGTTAATTTAAATACCGACATGAAGTTGGCTCTTATCGAAGAGGAAAATCATATTTTGCAAACACTCTTCTCGGTCGTCATGATGGATTTAAGCTTGGATCATCGGTAAATGGATGCACCAAAGGTATCGATATTTGGGATACTCCATTTTACCATGAAGGCAAACGTAAGTAATCGTAATATAGGAGTTTTGTTATTTGTCATGCTAGTTGTTATCTGTCCTACGTACGTACGTACGTACGTACGTTCTTACGTACTGTATTGTACCTCCACGTGTATCGCCACGTGTACGTACGTACGTATGTTGAGGTACAATATGACAAATATCCATATGATATGAGTGCGTGAGAGTGAAAACCTGGAAACCGATTTAATGATTTACTATGACCGGTTTCCAGGTTTTCACTCTCACGCACTCATATTTAGAAATTGGCATGAATAGAAATCCTATATATATTAACAATAATATATATATGTATTGTACATAAATTCAGGTGTGGTTGTTATTGATTGTGAGGGTATCAATGATCCTAATCAGGAAGTTCCATGGGCAAACAAACTTTTTGTTTTATGTCTGGCAATCTCTTCGACCCTAATCTATAATATTAATGGAGTTATTGGAAGAGACGACATTGACAAATTATTCCTAATGACTAAAATTGCATCCCTAATTCAACCTCCAAATGAATTGCAATTTTTGCCAGACCTGGTCGTTCTCCTTCGAGATTTTCAACTAGATAGTCCACCTGACTTTGTAGAATATTTCCTTGATAGATTATCAAATGTTAATGATGATGGTAAATTTAAACATTACATTAATTTATCAAGTCTGTATTAAAACTAATTTGATCATTAATATATCGTTTATTTCATAACAAGCCGCGAATGACATTAAAAAATTTTTTAAAAATTTCCAAGTTTATCCGATTCCTGTAAGTATATTCATATTTTATATATTTTTTCAACCTTCACTAATAACTTTAAAATATAGCTTCCAGGAATTCGGCAAGAAGAAATGAGAAATATGAGCACAATTAGGACAGACAAATTAGATCCTGTTTTTGTTACAAATATTGAAGAAGCCGTAACAAATATTTTTAAAAACTTGTCTCCAAAATATCTTGATGCTTCAGCAATGACAGGAGTAGCTTTTGCTGAGTTTCTTGAGAGATGTGTTGCACAAATAAATGACCCAGAAAACACCATGCTATCGATTCCAAGTGCATATGAAGCTACTATTGATTACGCTGCTCAAAAGGCATACGAAATTTGTATTGAACGTTATGATGAAAAGATGAACCAAATGATGAGCCAAATGAATATTGATGGATCTCCAATTTCTTGGGAAAAGTTTGAAAATACTCATAGTGACGCGTTTGAATCTGCGCATAACGATTTCATTAAGCAAATTCTTGGAGACGCTAATCAAATCCAGTCTTTTCGAAAAACATTTTGTGATAAGATTACTGCTTTAAAAGATAAATATTATAAAGAAAATTCCGCTGCCTTAATCAAATATCATGAAGAATGGGCTCATAAACTTTGGGAAGAGCATGTCGCTCCTGGATTGGAAATAACAAATCTTTTTGTAATTAATATTTTTTTTTTGTTATGTTATTTATTTAAAATTTCTTGATTTGATTTAATCCTGTTGACGCAGGATACGGATGAATTTGAAGAAGCAATTAATTTGTTTGAACAAATTTATGGAACTATAGTAAAACCAGGGCAGGAAGCTGTACAAGTAAATATTTAGTTATTTTAGTTGCTATTAATGTTGTTATAGAATTTGAATCATAAGTTTATTATTTGTTAGGTGCTGAACGGATTTAAAGCCAACCAATACGAATATTCCATTAGGCTTTTGAATAATTATAATGCTTTGCGGGAGGAACGTGCAAATGAAATGTTAGCACGTCAACAAATTGAACGGCAACAATGTGAACTTTTACAAGAAGAAATGAAATTACGAACAGAAATAATTAATGTTAAGGCTGAAAATGAAAAAATTCAGAAACAACTTGAAGAAAAAATAAAGACTATAGAAAAAGGTATTCTCGATCAGGAACAGAGGGAACAAGCGTTCGAGAAACTAAATAATGAGAATGATCGAATGCTTAAACAATTAGACGATTATAATCGTATGCTTAATAAAGTCAATGAAGAAAACCAGTCGAAAGTAAATAGTTTGCAAAACCAACTCACTAACAATAATCGAAAGAAATCTGATATGTTAAGTGTAGTGAGAGACCTTGGTGTTGCTCTTGCACCGCTTATATTTAGCACCATTTTTAATTAGCTATATCTTGTCAACTTATTTTAAATTAGTACAAAGCTAAATTTTCTTGTTTATAAATTGTTCAATGGACTTTGCTTTTTTACAAACTTTTTTAGAATATGTTATCAAAAAGAACCTCAAATTTTGGTTTAGACCAATTCTATGATCATCGTCTAAAAAAATTTCGTTACCAGCGTTAGGGTTCGGGTATTTTTTGTTTTGATTTTAATTTAGAATACAAAATTTTTATGCTAGGGTGAATGATGAAAGCGTACTCATATGACTTAACGCTCATGTGACATTTTTTGATTATCAATACATAACTAATCAAATTTGATTATTTCTAATTCAATAAAATTTTTTAATCTTGTTTTTAGGCGCTATCGTTATATAATCTTATGATCGAGTTTACCGGTGAAAGTCCGTTTTTTGAGAATCCCGAAAAAAATATGAGAATTTAAAGAAACTATTTCTCCTTTCGATTTACGAACCGATAAGTTTTTTATGACCTCAAACATCGTTGACTTATTGACTTTGCCATTGAAAAATTTTTCTGCTGTCCAAATTTTATAAAAAAAACAGCTGTAATTGGATTTGATGAATTTAGTATTTTTTTATTAGTCTCACTGTAGTGCTTGAAGTTGGAATCTGCTGTGCTTGAAGTTAAACCTGACTGAAATTAGCCCCGAAATTAGATCTTCCTGCCTGCATAAGTTAGTAAGTTTAGGCAGGTTTTACTCAAGTGCTTGAAATTAGAACTTCTAGCAGATGTTAGCTTCAAGCACGATAGCTATACTTGTCGTATTATATGCACATTGTAAAGTTACTGTACGAGCTTTGACAATTTGGTGTAGATTTTGTAAGCTTCGCGAATGAATTTTGTTTCAAAAGCAGCAAGATAAAAATATAGATCAAATCATAACAAAAGTATATGCAAGGTTAAAAATTAGAAAGACCGAGTTAAAATAGTGCAATTACTTAATGAAACTACCTAAGGGGTAGGGATAAACTGAGTTTGTTATTTTCAATGTTCTTTTGGAAATAAATATTGAGTTGTCCTCCATAACAATTAAGGAATCATTTTAGTTACATCATTAAACAAAAACTATATGAACTATTTAACAAACAAAATTCGCATCCAAATTGATTCAATTTTGTTTTATAAGTCTTGTAGCGGTTCTGAATATCATCAAAAATTAAACTAAAGAGCGAGTTAAGCTGTATTTGTAAAACAAAAATATTCTAAGAAAGCATAATAAAATAACTATACATGATCATATGTATGTACCATAACCCATATTTAATGTCGTGTATGATACTGAGAATTTGGGGGATCAATTTAAAAATGTAAACTTTACTAAAGTCCACATATACCCTTTTCTCATAAACTCAAACCCTAAATTATAACCTAACTCAAAAAAGCCAAAAAAAACATAAAATTTTTGAAAGTGACCCGGCAGCCCGGCTTTTAATTTTATTTTCATTATAAATTTTTTAGAAAAACCCACCCGAATAGTAAATATACTTAAAAAAATTTTTTTTAAAGGTTTGTAAAATTTGACCCGGCCGGGTTATGAGAACCAAAAAATTAACTTGGCCTGGCCTTAAAGTATTTTAACTTATCAGCATCATCCATTCTTAGCATCATTTCGACATTTGCTGATATAAAAAAAAAATATTAATCTTCCATAAATTCTTTGGTTAAAACTTGGTATACAGTCAACCTCTTCTCTATAGTCACAAAATTCAAATAATTACAAATTTATTTCTACCAATTATTTATAAGTTTCTGCGGATCTGTCTTAACATATATGAAGCCTGATTTCTACCACGTTTACAAATTATCGATAACTTTGCTTTAAAAATTTGCCACGTGGTCGAAATGGCCGAAATATTTCGGCCACAGGTATACTGCCGATAAACTTTTACTCTTCAATGATTAATCTATGATTTCATTGACGTCTCATTGCCTTATAAAAAAGTTTGTTCAGTTACCGTAGGCATTGTCCGGAATGGAGTCGATTTTCCGAATGCTAGTACCAAATTGTACAAATTTTATACTGTGATGTGAAAAAAGAAATTTTGGGGTTGACAACATTAGGTATAAACATTGTGCAAAATCAGTACAATGTACTCGGAAAATCGATTCCATTCCAAACATTTTTTTTGAACAAAAACAGAATAACTTTAGAAAATTTTAGAACATTGCCGACAAGATTGGACAAAATTTTTTTATAGGGCTGACATTCGGATGCCAAATATTTATCCACCACAACAACGTCGCGACATCCTTTAACCCGTCCCTAATTATAGACCTAATGTGGGTCTATCAATCAGATCATCTCGGTGATACATATGGTGGGAGTAGCGATGATAATAATACATGATAAAAAATAAGACTTCAAACGTATTTTCTAAATTTACGAAAAACTTACGTTTGCCTTCATGGTAAAATGGGGTATCCCAAATATCGATACCTTTGGTACATCCATTTACAGATGAACCAAGCTTAAATCCATCATGGCGTCCGAGAAGAGTGTTTGCAAAATATGATTTTCCTCTTCGATAAGAGCCAACTTCATATCGATATTTAAATTAATATTATGCTATAATAAAATTACTATAACCTTTTATAACCTACCAACAGTTATAATGGCGATAGGTTCTTCAACTTTTTTTAAAATTCTCAGTGCTTTCTCATCTAACAAAATTAATCCTTCATCATCTAAACACATGAAATTCAAAAGGTGTGTAGGATTTCCTGGACGAAATGGAATCTTTTCAGAAAATGGATTTGATGACATTATGATTTTTAAATTATGAAAAAAAGTTTAAATTCATCACACTTTCAATCTAACTTTATAGGTGTACTATAGATACACAAAGTGACACATTTCAGTATTGTTATTAGTGTTTTGATGTTTGGGTGTTCAGTATTTTGTGCATTATATTATTTCCATGAAAAGTGTGTTTCCATATATGGTACTTTATATAGTATCTTAATGATTTCTTTTTTTTGGCGTTTTATGATTGTTTATACATCTCGCATAAATTATTCTAAAAAGCTCAAAAATGTCTATCAAAAGCAAACTGAACTTTTTTTTTTTTCAAATTCTAAATTAAATATCACAAATAATAAATGTCCAAATTCGATGTGTAAATTCTAAAAATTCATAGAATTCAAATAAAAATTTTTGTCGAACCTAAAAAAAGTTTAAAAAAGTCATGGCACAGCTTCTATTTTGAAAGAGACATATAAATACTGGCATTTTAACGATTACTACTGAAGCATTAGGTATTAAAACACTAAAACACTAGAATACTAGAATACTAAAAATGCTAGAACAAAAGAACACCGAAATGTTGAATGCACTAAGAATAGAGAATTATGTTGTATAATTACGTAGCATTTGTATACGGTGTTAATGTCATAACTTTCTGCGCCCTGATATTTACTCATTTTCAACTCTTTATTATTATTACCTTATTTGTATTATTTTTTATCATGTATTATTATCATCGCTACTCCCACCATATGTATCACCGAGATGATCTGATTGATAGACC